TATTGATTTCAACAGCACTCCTTAATAAACATCCTATAAATTCATCTCCAATTCAGAGTCTGCTGTCTGAGGATCCTATTTTTAACAGTCTCCAAGTGGCAGAGCTAGCTTTTGAACCCAGACATATTGGTTTTAATAGCCATGGTTTAAAATACTTTTTGTATATATTAATAGCTCCCCCAAATCAAATACCCTAGGGGGATGTCCAGTATGGCAGAAATTACTCATAAATAGACAAGTTATGACTTCTATTTTTTGTATTTGATCATTACAGAATAGTCTGTCAATAAAAATGGACTTGAAATGAAAAGAAGAGAATGGAGAAAATGTTGACACAGGTTCAGTTGAAGTCAAGGGAAGAGACAGTTTCAAGAAGAAGAAACTAGCCAATAACATCAAATGTTGAAAAATGATTAATTTGAATAGGGACTGAAAGACTTCAGCACCTTTGGCTATGGGAAGGTATGAGCAATCCATGTGAGTTGTTGATGTGACATAATGCCAGCATGACCTAAATGGCTGTATTCTAGATGGAGCGTAGAGATGAGGGGTGATCATAAACTGTGTTCTCAATAAGCCTGCATTTCAAGGGAGCCAGGACAGAGTCTTGATATTTTCTAACATTGCCTATCTGTCAAGGTTGAACTGGGGCCATACCTGCTGCATATACATAGGGAACTTAGAGTAATATGGTTTGCGATAAATCATAAGCAAAACTCTAAACCCATTCACATTGCATCTTCTCCTTTCCCAAGAACTGGAGGTTCCCAGAAGGGAATTCTCAAATCCCACACTGTGATGTGGTCAAGCCTCACGCTTAGTCACTTTGTGCCCAGTGTCCACACTGTCGATTTTTTGAAGGCCAAAGTGTTCCCTAAAGCTGCCATTACACTCTGAAGAACACCAGGAACTGTTTCAGGTAAGAAGTTCCTGACCTAAGGCCACAGGGGTGGGTGGCCCAGGGGAATTAACCACAGAGAGTGTTTCCCACGAACCCACAGAGCACAGAATCCATTTTTGAAATACTGGTGTTCCTCTGCGCTTGTTTATTCTTAGCAGAGTGCAGCACCAGGCATTATGTAATAGAAGCAATAGCAGCGAAAGCTTTAAAAAATAATCTCTGTGGTAAGTCTGAAAGCAAATGCTGAAGACTGGAACATTTCAGATTTTCCACTCAGTGGATTGAATTGCCAGATTCGTCAGTATCACTTTCTCTCTATTTAGCTTTGGAAGGCGAAGATCAAATGCATGACCTTGCAGTCAATTTCAGCATTCTGGAAGGAGTAGACACTGTAGATTTGAGCTGGAGACTGAGCTCTGAAAAATAGTGATGTGTAGATGCAAATATGTGTTCCTGAAATTAAATGGATATCTCACAGAAAGTGGGATCTTTTTATTAGTTAAGGTAATCCATATAAATCCCTAGCTCACTGTAACTGGGCAGAGGGAACTACATGTCTGTTGTCTTGCCCAGACCTTTTTCTAGCTTAAAAAGGAGTTGTGTGAGGACTCTGAATTGATAAATCCTAAATCCACTATCAATTTCCCTTTTGAGCCATGTTAGCAGGTATAACTTTTAATCTGCACATCTTGGAAGCAAGGACGACCATAGCATTCTCTTTCTGTAAATTAGATGTCTTGTCCTGAGGTCTCCATGTTTCTGGAAAAAGTGAAAAAAATGTATCCAGTCTTTAATATGAGACCTCCTCCTCAGTGTCATCCAAGAAGGGTAGAGGTCTCACACCATCTGAACATTCAAGAAAGGGCCCTCTGCCCACTGTCCTCAAAGGCAGGGGGATGCACACTGTTCATTCGTGCATGTGTGTTGGGGGTGATTCCACCATGAGAGCCAGGCCTTGACAATCAGTGTTTAGCATCCCAAAATGCTTCTTGAAGCCATTCCCATCTGAGGTCACACATAAAGTTAGGCTCTACAAAGGACCCCTCCCCCATAAGAAAACTACTAAAATCTCATCTGCTCCAGTCACCAGGGAAGTACTAAAAATCATTTTTAAAAAAACAATTTTCTCCTATTTTATTCCACTTCTACATTTCCTAATGCTTAAAGCCTTTTGTCATGAAAGGCAAGACCAAAGGTCTCAAAGAATATTCTATGGATGAGTTAGCAATAACTTCTGGGTATCCATCAACTTTGTCTTTTGTCAAAAGCATACTGCCACCTCCTACCCAACTAGAAGAATGGAAACACAAAGTTCAAAACACTTTCTTGAAATGGAAGACTGAAAAACTGATAACAATGCACACATTTAGTATCTAACCTACACTATGTCCTCTTTACCTCTAAGCCCTTACTACATTGATATATAAACATGTCTCTGCCAAATAAAACCATCTAGAAGGAATATACATGGATATGAAGTTTTAATTGTCAGTGCCTAGCTCTGGAAAATAGCAAGCTGGTAGATAGGACTGCCATGCACCCTTCTGAAACCAAAACAGCAATAACAAAAAACCTGCTTCTGCTTATTAAAAACCTATTCCTCTGATTTCAAATGATGGAATACCATTGCGGCTTTGACAGAATGGATTGACATCAAATAAGTTGATTGAAAAATAAATATGGAATGAAATGTTGCTTTTGGCTGAATCATTTAAAGATTGGGATATAAATTCTTACAGAAACAACATCATTGTTATATTTCCTGAACTGTTATCCACTTTTTCAACATAACTAAAAATTAAAATCGGAATATTTTTCAACTTTCAAAGAAAGCATGGAAGGAGAATTAAGATGAACAGCTAATGTGTTAGTGTGTTTAGAAAATAGAAGTTAAAATAAATCTTTGTAATTAAGTTTTAGTTCTTTTGGTTATCATCTCTCTTTCTATAGCTTGCTCCTCCTTCCACCTTTATTATTTTATTATTATTATTTTTTCCATTTAAAAAGTTCTCTATGCCAGGCTATGTGCTTCTTTCTAAGCTTTCTCTTGAAATTACCACCCTCAAAAGTATCTGGATAAGGGATATTATTCATTCATTATTGTACAGATAGACATGTGAATCCTTGCATTTTTGGAGTTTATATTGAGGGAATGGGTGGAAATTGGAAAATGAATAATGAGCATAATTAATACACAGATTATAGGGAATATTATACAGTGATAAAAGCTGCAGAAAAAAATAGATCAGGATGAGGAAGATGGAAAAGCAGGTGGGCAGCTTGCAAAGTGTTAAGGAGGGTAGTCAGGGTAAGCTTTATGAGAAGGTGCTATTTACGCAAAGGCTTGAAGCAATTGAAAGCACAAACCCCGTGTGTATCTGGGATGGAGCACGGCTGGGTGCAGCTGCTTCTAGCAGAGTAAATGGCCAGTGCAAAGCCCTCAAGCAGGAGGGGTCTGTTGAGTAAGAGGAAAGGGAAGGGGCCCAGCGTGATCCAGGGAAAGACTAAAGGGAGAGATGCCAGAGAGGTAGGAGAAGCAGGGCATGGAGGGCTCAGGGGGCATTTTCAAGATTTCGCATTTACTGTGAGCGAGATGGCAGCCATCGGAGAGTTTTGAACAGAAGAATGATGTGATCTGACCTACATTTTAAAAGGATTACTTGGACTGCAGAGTTGAGAACACCCTGGGGAGGCAGCCAGATTTGAGGGATGAGTTAGGAAGCTACTGTGACGATCCAGGTGAGAGGTTGAGTATCCTGCATACCAGGGGGTAGAAGAGGAGGTGGAGAGAAGTGGTCACCTGGTCACTTTCTAGATCTATTTGGCAGGACAAGTCAACAGAATTTCCTGAGAGATTGGATGTGGGGCGTGAAAAATGACTGGCCTATCCCAATGTCATTACGAGGCATGAATGGTTAACTCCTTTTTTTATCTTTCCCACCTTGGGCAGTTTCTTCCACTTAGCACTGAAAATAGTTTTTACATAATGCTAACATATATTTCACCCATCTCTCTCTCTCTCTTTTTTAAATCTTTGCTGCTTTATTCACCACAGATTTATCATGAAATTTTAAAAAATGGTTTAAGAGGCACAAATACTTGACTATAGCAGTGGTTGGTCTCTCTGAAAAGAGGGTGCTCATTGTCTTTGTTTTTCATTTGCTCTCCTTTAAAAAACTGGCCAGTGTTGAAACTGTCACAGAACAAATAGAATCCAGACTTGTTTCATAATTTATGTAGCTGACTTAATTTGCTTTTGATAGCTCTATCACAGTCCTGACACCTACAGCTTTTATTTTTCCTCTAAAATATCAAGATATTATATTTGGATGTTGCTTGGAGCTATGCAAGAAGAAGAATCTTGGCTTTTTTTTTTTTTTTTTTTTTGGGACGGAGTCTCGCTTTGTTGCCCTGGCTAGAGTGAGTGCTGTGGCGTCAACCTAGCTCACAGCAACCTCAAACTCCTGGGCTCCAGCGATCCTACTACATCAGCCTCCGGAGTAGCTGGGACTACAGGCATGTGCCACCATGCCCAGCTGATTTTTTCTATAAATATTTGTTGGCCAGTTAATTTCTTTCTATTTACAGTAGAGACAGGGTCTTGCTCTTGCTCAGGCTGGTTTCAAACTCCTGACCTGGAGCAATCTGCCCGCCTTGTCCTCCCAGAGTGCTAGGATTATAGGCGTGAGCCACCGCACCAGGTCAGAATCTAGATATTTGAATAAGATGATTGCTGGAGGAGAGGATACTAACCATGAAACAGTGTTGCCAATTTTTTTCCCAGGGTTAGCTTTATGGGTAATAACAATGTTTCCTAACAAGTGTAGAGATTGCTTCTCAGTTGACCAAATTGTTTCACATACATTAATCTGTGTAATCCATACCAGAAAAACTATGAATTATGTGTTGTTGGCTTCATTGTACAGAGGAGCATATTATCTCAAGGAGGTTAATGGATTTCACCATATCATACCATGGATAAATGACAGAGCCAGGCTTAAAATTTATTTTATTAATAGAATTTGATTCTGGTCATACTTTTTGTGATGAGAACTAGGCTTGTTTCTTCTCATTGCAGTTGATAGATCTAGAGAGAGACAGTAGACCACAAATTAACATTGTTCTATTTATTAATAATAGTGCTACTTAGGATTTGTCTTTCTAAGAACAAAAGATGGAATTGCTCAATATTTGTAGGGGACTCGAAGGCCTTAATCCAAGATGCACACTCATCCAGGATGAAACACTGCCTATTCCATTTTCCTCCTGAGGACAGTCTTTGGCCTCTATCAGCTTCAGCAGCAGTAATTCCTACCAGGTGCTATTGCTTTGATTGGAGAGGCCATGCATTCCCTGCCCCTAAACTTCATGAGAGAGTCTCTGTCTCGGGTATACTTGCTGCTGTAGTTCATCTGCAGGAAGTAAAGTTCTATGATGAATGAGAGGACCTGTTTATGAAGTCTGCAGTGCTACACAGCCCTTTAAGAAATGTTAAATCATGTTAGTATAAATCTGGAAATAATTTGATACACGTCTTTTTCACATGCTAGAAGAATAAAAAGTCACCATCTGTCTTTCCACAAAATAATATAAATGGGGCTAACACTGTAGATTTAAACTGAGGCAGCTTCTAAAATTAGAGAAATAGAATAGCATAAAATTCCCTCCCTCAGAAGTTTATTGGTTTTCCAATTAACATTGAAGATTTGATCCTTGAAATTTTGCTTGCTGGCTCACAAATAAAGTATGCAAGTGAATGATAATTAACATTAATTGCTATGTTCCATATATCATCCACAACGTAACAATGACTGATAATGAGCAAGTCCTACCTGTTTAATCACTCTTCAGCTAAAGTAGCATCATTAGAAAAGAAAGATTACACAGCATGAAATTCATGTGTACTTTTAATGACTCTAACTTAAAACAAACATATGTACAATTTATTTTCAGATAAATGTAAGTGCAGTATAATAAAAGAGGGATAATTTTCTTAGGCACTTTTTGAAGAATAAAATTTAATTTAGTATAATTTTAGGAACTGATTCAAGATTACTAAACTTTTAGCCTTCAGGACATTTTAGGATGCTTATAATGAAAAAGTATGGAAATTTCACTATCAAACTGATATTGTTGCTGATGGTAACATTAGGTAAACATAGAAATTATGTGTTCACTTAGCTACCTCTTATCTTTTTCTTATTGAATACATCTTCAGGGTAGTATATTCACCCATAACTGGAGAGAAACTCTTAAGCATGACTCTTAATCATAACCTTAGAATTTAACACCTAGTGTTTAGCAACTTGTACTAGGTATCTGTGTACATCTCTTAGGTAACCACAGTTACAAAACAAACCTGGAAACCATTTCTCTAGTTTCTGGAAAAGGTAAAAGCTTCCAAAGTGTTTATTTGAATAGGGAATATTTTATTGATGTTTTCTAAGCATCTAAAACAGTACGTGGTAAACAGGTGAGCTCTCAAATATTTATTGAATGTTGGTTAAATGAATAGATGTTCTATTTTACTCACCAGCATTTCAATCCTTTCAGCAAATGTGAGCACCTTCCCTGTGCTAAGTAATATGCTAGGTCCTAGGAAAAGTGGAATGAAGCAGACGAACCAGACACTCACTTCCCAAACTTGAACAGCTGGTGACCTAGTAGGGCAGGATGAAAGGAGGGGAGAAAGCAAAGACAGGCTGAGAATGAACACTGTGTGATCATAGGTGAGAAAGCTACTGCCTTCCCAGGGAAATAAGGCAGGACTTCAAGGAGGAGAGGAAGCATGATCTGGGTCTCGTGAGAGAGAAACACTGTGGCATGAACGAATCCTTCCAGAATCAATGATAAATCTGTTTAATTTGTTTCTTCAAAAGTTGATCCTTATCATTCTTTAAGAAGCCAGATGACATCACACTGAAGTTTTAACTGGGTTGTTTAGCTTTATTGATTGTCTGCTTGTTGGAATAGGCCTTCAAGTAAACAATGCTTACCAAATATCAAACACTATGCTCAATGTTGGGCCATCAGTGTTTGAAATGGCATAACTTCAGCTTGGTGTGGTGGCTCATGCTTGTAATCCTAGCTCTCTGGGAGGCCAAGGTGGGAGGATTGCTCAAGGTTAGGAGTTCGAAACCAGCCTGAGCAAGAGCAAGATGCCATCTCTACTAAAAATAGAAAGAAATTAATTGGCCAACTAAAAATATATAGAAAAAATTAGCTGGGTATGGTGGCACATGCCTGTAGTCCCGGTTACTTGGGAGGCTGAGGCAGGAGGAATGTTTGAGGCCAGGAGTTTGAGGTTGCTATGAGCTAGGCTGATGCCACAGCATTCTAGCCAGGGCAACAGAGTGAGACTCTGTCGAAAGAAAGAAAGAAAGAAAGAGAAAGGAAGGAAGGAAGGAAGGAAGGAAGAAAGAAAGGGCATAATTTCTTTCCCAGGGGATTCACACTCTAGTGAGAAGGACATGTATTAAAAATGCAGTTACATTCTCAGAGTAAGGATGGTAGAGGTGCAGCAGTGCATCATGGACACACAGAGCCAAGGACTCTCACCTGGTCTGTGGGCTGGAAAGACTTCACACAGGAAAGGACTATGAGGCTGAGAACTGGAGGATGACAGCAGATGGTTAGGGAAAAATGGAAGTGGGGTGGGGGTGGGAGGTTGGAAAGGAGAGAAGAACATTCCAGGAAGAGGGAAAGAGCATATGTGAAACCACCCACTCCCATAGGTTCCAAAGACAGATTTCTTGGGCATCTTTAAAATGATTGGCTTCAAGAGCACATGGAAAACAGGATTTCCTATCACTGTACCCCTCCCCCTGCCACTTCCCCTTCTCCCAGTCCCCTTCAATGCATAAAGCCTGCACTGACAGGCAACAGGGAACACGGGCTTTCAGGTTTCCGGTATTCTCCTCCCACTGGCCCTGAAGTTGCAAGCCACAGGTTTCTTGGAACTGCAAATATTGTTTGAACTCAAGCTAAAACTGGAGATGTGTTTTGAGTCACATTATGCAGGCATATTTATACCATCTGTTTATGACACTTACAGGTGGACACTATGATTCATTACACATACAACATACTAAACATAGAAGCTTGGAAAATCCTGAGCTCCGGGGAATTGTTGGGTATGGGTAAATATGCAGAAGGGAAAGATAGTAAGCATCTTTTCTTTGAATTTTATAGCTTTTCAAATAAAATCCTTATCTCGACCAAAAAGTTTTGGAGAGTGTTTCAATACACAGATTTGAGCAGATGAGGATGGAAATGGAGGGAGGAGGGTGACAAAAGGTCATGTACTACTAGGACCTGTTATGGAAGATTTCCCTGGGAAGTGTGTCTGTGTGTGTGTGTGTGTACATTAAATAATCAGAATATATTTGCTAACTATGGTGCCAGAAACATTATCTCCATATTAAAAGGAAGGATTTGGTTCTAAGACAATTACTTCTTTATCTCCAGTAATATTTCTACATGATTTGGATTTTATAATTTGTGTTATATTCTTCATATACCGGTCATTCATTAGATTTTTAAACAATCATATTGATCACAATATGATCACAATAAACCCTTTGATCACAATAAACATAGACCTAAAAATCAAGTCACAGGACATATACATTCTTTTGTTTTTAGAAACTATTCCCCTTTTCATAACTTAGGAATACTATTGACAATAGCCAATCCTGGTAATACTCTGTTTTGTATATTTTAACCAAATGTGAAAACTTTTTACAGCCCCATAAATAGCAATAACTTTTAAAGTAGTTTCCGTATGTGAGTATCTCAAAGCCACACTGTCTGATGGGGACCTTTTCCCTTAGGGCAGCAGAAACATTCTAAAGAGTCAAGGAAGAGAGAACTCACTGCTGTATTCAATTAGTTGAGAAACCATCAAAGTAAATAAGGCAATACCTTTAAGAACACACAAAACAGAAGTTGGTGAAGTAGAACAGATTAAAAGAAAAAGGAAAAGTCTGTTTTAGCTACCAAGTGACCCAGGGGTGAAGAATAATTTCTTCTTCAGGACACATTTAGTAAAGGTCTCCCAGTAAGATAGCTCAGTGGAAACAATTTCTTTTCATGTCTGTAGGGAACTGATGAAGTTTGCAGGAAATATAGGCAGAGTTTAATTCCAAACAAAGTATAGTAGGTCAGCTTTCAGAAGCAACTTTAGACATCTTTTGTCCCCTCCTAGAATACTAATGGCTTTGAAAAGTCCCAGTGGTCATGGGGTAAGGCATTTACATTTTAGGAATAAGGTTCAGCCCGGAGGAAAAGCTCATTAACTCTGTGCCAAGTTTTGCCTTCCCCTCAAGATGGCTTTCACAGAATTCTCAGCCTTCTTATAATAATACTTAGATTACAAAGTTATGTTTAGCCATACAGTGTTCAATAATCACTTACTGAGTCCTACTATGGGCCAGAATTTGTGTCATGCTGAAGGGAGACTCAGATATACGACGTCTCCAACTTTAAGATTAACAAAAACGCTATTAGACATTTATACAATTATTTATATAAAATTATAGTGGTGTGAATAATGATGTAGGAGCTCCAGGGAGATAACTCTATCTGGAAGATGTAATATATAAGGCAGTGACTTCCAAAACATAAAGCACAGTGAGGGGTTCAGTGAATGTGCTGTAGGCATTTCCTCAATCACTGCACATGTACCTGTGGAAGACATGACTAATAAACTGTACTCATTCCCACAGAGCTTAGTTTCAGCCTCAGAATCCTTCTCAACACAATGCTTCAAGCACTACCAATAAGTCAAAGCTAATATGAAACCTACTTACTAATCTGGTTATCTACAAATGTAAGAAATTATTAGCATGGTTTTGAAACCTGCCTAAATTATACATTTTCAAAGGGTATCAGTTGGACAAATTATTTAAGGAGCACAGGACCAGGAATCAGATAATCCGCATTCATGCCCTACCTTTGTGCTTGTAGCTAAACTTATCACATCAAAAACTCTTTCTTTGGCCGGGCGCGGTGGCTCACGCCTTAATCCTAGCTCTCTGGGAGGCTGAGGCGGGCGGATTGCTCAAGGTCAGGAGTTCAAAACCAGCCTGAGCAAGAGCGAGACCCCGTCTCTACTATAAATAGAAAGAAACTAATTGGCCAACTGATATATATATAAAAAAAAATTAGCCGGGCATGGTGGCGCATGCCTGTAGTCCCAGCTACTCGGGAGGCTGAGACAGAAGGATCGCTCGAGCCCAGGAGTTTGAGGTTGCTGTGAGCTAGGCTGACGCCACGGCACTCACTCTAGCCTGGGCAACAAAGCGAGACTCTGTCTCAAAAAAAAAAAAAAAAAAAAACTCTTTCTTTGTAAGAAATGGGAAAATATTCTTTACCTGAGAGAAATTCTGGAATTGTTATGTGTTCCATACAAAAGTATTATATATGTGACTACTTTGACAACTGAATTGTTATACCAACACAAGGTGTGGATTACCAGGATGGTCCTCGTTACACTCTTGTTGTTATTATTTTAATTAATCTCTCTATTATATTCTGGGAATTCTCCTACAGCTTGGCCCTACCCCCTCCCACCCTGCCAATTCCAGGGTAAGTCTGTTAAAATGAAAATCATAACTATCTTTAAAAAGGAAAATAAATTTTAAAATGTGAAAGAGGGAAGAGATGAGAGAGTTTCTGTGAAATGTCTGAAGTCAGATTATGTGGGTTTGAATATTGCATCTGCCACTAGCTGTGTGATTTTAGGCAAGATACATACTCTCTGGGCTATTTTTTCATTTGTAAAATGGGATTATTAACGAAACCTGTTTCATAATAATTTTGTGAAGCTAAAAGGAGATAACATATGTAAAACTTTAGGACAGTGCCCATAACATAGTGCATAATAAATGAGATTGTTTTTATTATCAAGTAGATATGTGTTGAGTGTCTTCTATAAGCCAGATCCTCAGCAGTGTGCAACTGTTCCCCCCAACTTCAACCAAACCCCAAATATATTCAGTTCAGGACAAACATCCCAATATGCTAGAAGCGAGGACAGTTTATGTTTCTTATCAAGATAATTTCCTTCCTATGGAGAAAAGATCAAGACCTTGTGTGCAAAGCTCTTGGTCTTAAAGATGCATTAAAGATAAAATGCTGTATAAAAAGACATCAGCTTTCCCTTTCTCCTTTATTTTCTCCATTCTTTCTTTCCTTTGTTTCTTCCCTATTTTCTTCCTTCCTTCATTTTCTTCCTTCCTTCCTTCTTTTTCTCCTTTTCGGTCTTCCTTTCTTTTTCCCTCTCTCCCTTCCTTCTTCTGATTGGGTTCAGGACATGCTATCTCAAAATATGGCACTCTGGCATTTGAGAAAACAGCAGAAGCAAAAAGGTCACCCTGACCTCCTCCTTCCCCTCCACCTCTCTCATGAGACCCTATTCCAGAGATACCCTCCCTATGTCTGGAGGAAAAGAACATCATCATCTCTGAAGACACAGAAACACAGAGAAGAAGGCGAACAAACAGGACGTGCTAAGTTTCTCCTGGTTTATTATAATAATAATCTTTCTCCTCCAAATGTATTCCTCCACATCTGTCCACTCTTCATTAAACCTAAGCACAAAAATATATAAGTTTGCTTGTTTCTTGGGGTCTTCACTCATGTAGGTTCCCATGGCATG